TAGCTGATAAATTTTGGCAGAGATTTAATAAAATCTTGAGATTCATTTTCCTATAAATATGGGCTAAATGTTTAAAATTATATTGAGATAGTAAATTTTTGGTGTTTCAGGCTTACTACGGGCCTTGGGGGCCTTAAGCTTACTTGGACCCTAGTGCTGGTCCGGTCCATGGAATCGGGTCGTGACAACAACTAACCGCTAACAACTAAAATTACTAGACAAGTAACAAATACCACAACTAATACCTAGTAGAATAGCTAATATTGAGGATGCTTGGTTCAGTTGATTCATGCAGTTGATAGCTAACACATACCCAACAACTAGGTTATATGTTTTTATGAAAGATTTGAATAAGCGATTGATTGTTGATAGTTAGAGGGTGTTAAATTGTGGTTCGGTTTCAAACTGAACCAAATCACAAAAATAAAGATCAAACTTCTCATTTTTCTTAAATTCAAACCACACTGAATATCCAAATAACCAAAACAAATTCATTGGTTCAGTTAATTTCGATTAGTTTTGGGCGAAAATCACATATGTTGCATAACTGAACTAAAAATCGAAATCAAAATTATCTAAAATTTCAAACCAAAATCTCACTGAATATTTAAATAATCGAACTAAAAAGCCAAACTAGATCAGTTCAGATTATTTTTTAATTTTAACTGAACTTTGCTCACCTGGCGGGCGTCGAATCCACCAAAAATAATTAACCTGCTCTCCTACAAAATAAAACTTGTAAACATGGTGAGAAGGGTCGAACCCTAAGGATTAGCTTTGTCGACAATAAACCAGAACTGAAAATAAAATTAAAAATAGAAATTGAAACGGGAGAATTTAATAATCGAACTAAACGAATTAAAATTAAATCAAAGAAATAAATGCAATAAAATTAAAAATTGAACCTGAACAATTGAGAGTAAATTCAGCCAAGGCATACCGCGGTTTGAAGATTTAATTCAATTGATCATTGACTCAAGATTAATTCCTTAATTCATATTACAGACAAGTTATAGCCAGGAAGAACGTCAACCCAACCAACTCTACCGTAGGAATAGGTTGCTAAGATACGATCTAATAACAACCCCTAATTAACTAGCAATTCTAAGTACGACGAAGGATTTAACTGTTAACAGCTTTAAAATCTAATAGAACCCTGCCTAGATTAACAGAAACTACGAGCATCCATTTAAATCTAATTATATTCTTTCTTAATACAACCTAAAAAGTTCTACCCAATTAAGTTATATTAATTACTACTGCATCAACCTAACCAAACAATTACGGATTTGATTACGTCTATTATTCTTTCTTAATACTAACCTAAAAGTTTCTACCCAAATTAAGTTTTAATACAACCTAAAAAGTTCTACCCAATTAAGTTATATTAATTACTACTGCATCAACCTAACCAAACAATTACGGATTTGATTACGCCGAATAGCTATGGAAATTTCTACCAATCAACATAACGGGCCCTGTTAAACCATTCAATAGAATTTCACTAGGGGATATATTTTCTCAATAAATCACAGAAAGGATATAAATGCAATAGAATAAAGAAATTCAATTAAGTTCAATATAATCTCACAATCGAAATCAAACTTCTACCTTGGTTTAGCCTTAACTGAACAGAACGCTTAGCCACACATGGCTATTGAAGAAAACATTGAATGAAAACAATCAATCAAAAAGAAAAACATCATCAAAAGAATTGAAAGTTCGGCAGTAATCTCTCAAAAATTCTGTAAAATTCGTCACAACCCAAGGGAGGCAAAAGATCCTCCACAAAAAGACCTAATTTTGACTTAAATACCCCCTAGAAAGTGGGGCCAACTAATACAATAAAAATACCCACTAAAAACTGTGTCTAATATCATCATGTGGCTGTAAAACGTGCTGGAATCAGTTGAAGAAGTCGTGACCAGCCAATAATATCACAATCAGTCCGCTGGTCTCATTTCCTGCTTAATCTTGCCCAAGGCTAAGAGCCTAACAGCTTGTATTTGTGTTCCAAAATTCCAGCAGCTCCTTCCTTGCTCCAAAACATTTCAATTGTGCTCCTTTTTGCTTCATTCATATCAAACCCAACTTTTCCTAGCATAAAAACAATAAATTTCCTAGCATAAAAACAATAAATCAAGTTAAACCACTCTTTTAAGCTCAAAATGACACCAAATTAACACAAATATAACAATAAAAGAAAATTGGATTTGCAAGTTATCATCACCCCTACTGACAGTTAGTTGTTGATTCCATTAACCGTTTTTTGGAGTTTTTTTACTGGTAATTGATTTATATTATATTATATTTGGTTTCATTAACCTTATAAAATAATTATTAATAAAATTATATTTTTCAAATTAATATTTTTTAGATTGTCTTACTTATAGTTATTTAAAAATAATAAATTTTTATCAAATAGTATTATTATTTAGGCTTAATTATAAATTTAGTGTCTGAACTTTTGAAAAATTTCTATTTCAGTGTCTCAAAGGAAAACTTTGCAATCAAGTGTCTGAACTGATAATTTTTTTTTAATCAGGTATCTCCGTCCTCCGTGGCTTGTTGAAAACATGAATAGGACATGTAAGACCCACTTAATGTTCAAAATAATGCTGAGTATGACGACAAACAGCTTGACACGTTGGATTTGACATGTCAAACAGTAGAGTGTAAAAAATGATTGACAAAATTGTCTGTAGCCAATGAAAAGTCAACTTGCCGTTCAATTGGAAATCACTCTCATCCCAAAATAGAGAGAAAGAAATCCGACCACAGTCAAACTCTAACACCAAACAAATTGAAGCCTTTCCTAAAATTTCGTTGAAATCATACCAAATGAATAGCATAGAAGAAGAGTCGAAGAAAGAAATAATCATATTCATCGATGAAGATTAATGTCGATTGTTAACTGATTTCATAAAACGAATCCATTTTTGTGCTTGTTTTTTTTTTTTTTTTTTTTTTTTTTTGAGAAATTGAATGCATGTGTTTTTGACTAAAGAAAGAAAAAGGGTTATTGTTTACGAGCTGTTAAAGATTCGGCCCATGATCGGGTCCTTTGAAGAAAATCAACAAAGTGTGGCGCTATAACCATCATCCAACAACGCACCCACTACATGCATGTACATTTTCACTAATTTCGTGTACAAGTGTTTTATTTCTATGATGGCGCATGTTTCCTGCAGTATTAATTAGTATTGGACCTTGTAACTACTTTTACCATAATAATAACAATAAATATTTCAGTTTTAGTACTCAAATTATCAATCATAAGCAGACTTTGTTCATTTGCATTAATAATAACAAAATACACAACATTGTTCACTCTAAGGAGCAGAAGGCTTCCTCCATTACTTGTTCTGCCTCTAACAGACAGTCTTCTCCTACTGAGATTAGGTGGGTTCCCTTTTTTTTGTTGCATTCATTTTTGCCAAGCCTGCAAATCTTTTTTTTTTTTGGCTAAGGGGCAATTTTGTCAATCATTTTTTACACTCCACTGTTTGACACGTCAAATCCAACATATCAAGCTATTTGTCATCCTATTCAACGTTATTTTGAATATTAAGTGGGATCTATAAATTCTATTCATATTTCCAGCAAGTTACGTAGGACTGAGACACCTGATTAAAAAAATTATCGGTTCAGACACTTGATTATAAATGGTTTCCGTTGAAACACTGAAATATAAATTTTTCGAAAGTTCAGGCACTAAATTTATAGTTAAGCCAATTTATTTATATAGCACATTAAAATAAAAAATAACATATTCATTTTAAAATAAACAATTATATTATACATCATAATATAGAATTATATCCTCAGTGGACATTTTAAATTTTAACAGTAACTATCACCAAAATTTTACCAAACACCAAAATTCATCAGATAAGCATTATCAACCACTAGATATTAGCTATAATGAAAAGCTAAACCATAGGACTCATTGTCTAACCGTTTATTGAATTTGCATTTACAGATTGATACCATTTTCTAATCGATTTACATATTTAGAGAATTATTGATTTACCAATGGAATTTTACTATTTATCAATCAATTTTTACCATTTACTATATTAAGATGGGCTTTTTTAAAAAACTTAAAACTTGGTGAATTTGATTTAACTTAAAACTTAAAACAACTCCGTTTTGAGAAAATTGGTGAATTCGAGAATTCTGATTTTTTTGGATATTTTTATTGAATTATTTACCCTATATCTTATTCTCTTCAAATAATTTACCATACTGTTTACCATTTACCATTTTACTGAACTGCTTTTACTAAATAACCTCAATTTGGCAATTACTCTATTTGTCCACCCCTAATATTGACATTTTTTTTTTTTTTTTGTGTACACTAGTTTTCCAAGTAAGAATGATATTCAAGTAAAACTTTTCCAACATTGTGATTTCAGACTTTAATCTTGCAGCTAAACTTAATTTAAATATATTAAAATAATATATGAAGTGATTAATGTAAATAAATAAAAAATTAAAGAATAAACCCTCAATGTAGTCTTTTTATTTTTCCTTCTTGAAGGTAACACTCAATTTAGTCTTTGAATTTTACCTAATCTTCCATTTAGTTGAAAATTTATTTTTCAGTAGTTTAGGATATAAATTTTGAGTTTATGATTAATCTACTTCATTTTTTATAACTATTTTAAAATAATCAAAAATTAAAAAAAAATGTGAAAATTGAAAGAAATTAGTTTTTATCCTCACTTTTTTTTCATAGTCACTTTTTTTTTATTTTAAAAATGGATTAAATTCAATTTATGTTTTTTATTAAATTAATAAGAAATTAATTTTGAATCAAACTAAATAATCAGCAAACATTTAAATTTCAAATTTAGCATTTATCCTTAAATAAACAAACTACACATGCTAGGTTTTCCGGGTTGAAACAGTCAATTCGTGAAAGCGGCCGTGCCGATGGTCCCATGTCTTTATTTTATGTAACAGAAGTGTGACCCAAAACATTATCCTATCCAGAATCTACACGTCCCATGAAGTGACGCCATTTTAATTTGTTGCCTGCTAATCTCATCTTCAAAGGTTACTCCATTTTCTCAAACACTTTCTTTAACCAATTTTGATCAATACCCAGTTGAGTTCATATTTAACTTTGCTTTGCAAACATGTAAATGACTATTGTAATCAATGATAGGGACAACGGTCCTTCACCAAACCCCTTTTTTGTCACAGCAAGTTAGTCTAAGAGACCAAGAATGTTTGTCCCTTTTGAGGAGATGCAAGAACATGGAAGAATTCAAACAAGCCCATGCCCAGATCCTCAAATGGGGATTCTTTTTCCGTTCTTTTTGTGCAAGCAATCTTCTGGCCACCTGTGCTCTCTCAAATTGGGGAAGCATGGACTATGCGCGCTGCATTTTTGGGCGAATTGAGGAACCAGGTACTTTTGAGTTCAATACAATGATTAGAGGATATGTTTTAGATGATTATAACATGGAAAATGCTGTATTTGTTTATTATGAGATGCTGGAGAAGGGTGTTCAATCAGATAATTTTACCTATCCCTCTCTTTTAAAGGCATGTGCCTTGTTGAGGGCGATTGAGGAAGGTATGCAAATTCATGGGCATACTATAAAGCTTGGACTTGAAAGAGATTTATATGTGCAAAGCAGTTTGATTAATATGTATGGGAAGTGTAGAAAGATAAAACTATCCTATGCTGTTTTTGAGCAAATGAATCCAAAGGGTATTGCTTCTTGGAGTGCCATTATAGCAGCGCATACTAATTTGGGCATGTGGTGCGAGTGCTTCCAACTTTTTAAGAAGATGATGATGAGTGGTGAAAAAGGATCTTCTTATAGGCCTGAAGAGAGCATATTAGTTAGTATGCTCTCTGCTTGCACTCATTTGGGTGCCCTTGATCTTGGAAGGTGTGTACATGGATCATTGTTGAGGAACATTGACATCGAGCTCAATTTAACAGTACAAACTTGTCTGATTGACATGTACATGAAATGTGGTTGTGTAGACAAAGCTTTATCCCTTTTTCAAAGATTGATCACTAAGAAGAACCAGTTTTTATACAGTGTGATGATATCGGGACTAGCAATGCACGGGCGAGGTAAAGAAGCGCTAGAAATTTTCTCTGAAATGCTAGATGAAGAAAGATTGAAGGTAGATGATGTTGTCTTTGTGTGTGTTTTGAGTGCTTGTAGTCGTGCCGGACTTGTTAAGGAAGGACTGCAGTATTTTAACAGAATGAAATTTGAGTATGGGATACAACCAACAAATGAACATTATAGCTGCATTATAGATCTCATGGGCAGAGCTGGAATGCTCAATCAGGCCTTAGAGTTTATTAGAAACATGCCTATCGAGCCAAATGATGTCTTATGGCGAAGCCTTCTTAGTGCTTGCAGGACACACCATAACATTCAAATTGGGGAAATTGCAGCTAAAAGCTTGTTGCAGTTGAACTCGCGAAATTCGAGTGACTTGCTGATGTTATCTCATATATATGCAAAAGCTAAACGATGGGAGGAGACAGCGACGATTCGAAAAGAAATGGCCTATAAGAGCTTCATTCAAACAACAGGATTTTGTTCAGTTGAGGTGAATAGAAAAGTTTATAAGTTTGTTTCACAGGACAAGTCATACCCTCAATGTGAACAAATATATGAGATGATTGATCAGACGGAATGGCAACTGAAATTTGAAGGCTATTCTCCAGATACATCAGAAATATTGCTTGATGTGGATGAAGAAGAGAAGAGGGAGAGATTGAAAGCTCATAGTCAAAAATTAGCTATTGCTTTGGCATTGATAAATACATCTCAGGGGATTCCCATTAGAATAAGTAGGAACGTGAGGATGTGTAATGACTGTCACACTTACACCAAGTTCATTTCCAGAATCTATACAAGGGAAATTATTATAAGAGAACTGAATAGGTTCCACCATTTTAAAAATGGAGCTTGCTCTTGTTTAGACTATTGGTAATTAGTAATTACTGATGTTTTTCTTGAAATATTAAACATGGCCATAATTCTCTTTTTTGGGTCTAATTTTTAATTTTTGTTTTTTACGGGTTTAAATTGTAATTGTAATTTTCATCCCTTTACCATACCATCTCGTAAAAAGGAATTATATTAAATTTAGAGGTTAAACTTAATTAGTTTTTAGTAACATATTTAAATTAAATAATAATTTAATTTAAATTAAATTTATTAATATAAAGTAACTGATATATATTTACTTAATTACCTTTTACATATGAAAAACTCAAATTATCCAATTTATTGAAAATTAAATAAATAAGAAGATCACTATATTGGTACCACTGAAACTTTTCCGATTGCCTTTGCTTCTCAAAATAAAGTTAATTATTCCCCTAAAAATTAATCATAAGAAATGCTCCATTATTATAATTAATTCTACTCCAATATCCCAAATCATTATTATTGTTACAATAGGTTATAGGAGGTAGAGATTTTAATTAGTTACAATTTGGTGTCTGAACTTTTTACTTTTTTTACAATTTGATGTCTGAATGAAAAGATTTTTTAATTGGGTATCTGAACCTTTTAAAACTTACAATTAGGTGCCTACCGATGAATTGAATACCGAAAATATGAATCAGCATACAGTGGGTCTCACTTCAACCTAGTCACATGCTGACAGGGCATGACAAATTTGCCGAGGGTGACATGACAAATCATCCTTGACTAGTTAAAAGTAATAAATGACATAGCAAATACTGAGAAATCACACATTTAAATTTGCCTTCACTTTCAACTTCTTTCGTCTTCCCCTAGTCAGCCTCGTCAACACTGAGGGTGACATGATTTTTCAGAATTTTCTCTATGATTTCTCTAAGCGAAATCATTGTCAGAGACAAGAATTTTAATTGCATACAAAATGGAGAAGGAAGCGAAGAACTTTGATTGTAAAGATTTCAAAGCCCTCTGAACCTTATTCTCTCCCTTTTTCTCTCACAAAATTAGCATCAAAATTGCAAGATAAGATTGATTGGAAGTCGAAATCCAGTGAACTTCTAAGATGGTTAGAAGTCGAAATCCAGTGAGTTTCTCTTCCACCAAACGCTCAATTCCATGTTCCTTCTTGGCCTTTTTATTGTTTATTTGTCTGTGTTTGGGTATTCTTTTCTCTCGCAATCTTCCTACTTGGGGATTTTACTATGAATTTTTCATGTTGATGGAACCCTAGGTGACTATGGCAAATTTGGTTTTGCACCTCAAGATGCTTCATAATCAATTGATTCATAGAATATCAACATGTGAGAGAGAGAGTATTTCTCTGAGATATGTATAGATATGGGCAAATTGGATCCTTGAAAGAAAGCCACAGCTTCAGCTCTGCTAATCCTGCCATCTCCATCTAAATCTGCTCTCCTAAAGTAAGCTTCGAATTGATCCATGTTCGGTCCCTGAGGTTGCCCCGCCATCTGCATGCCAAATCCAGAATCAACTAATTCCTCTCCGATTAGATCTCTTAGACACACGCACGCATTAACATGAATTCAAAAGGATGATGAAACAGAGTGTTAAAACATTAAATTCGTCGAATGGAATAATTGAAGTGTAGGTGGTTAGATCGAGAGGAGACGGCAACTGATAAATTCGTAAATGGAAGACGAGATCCTCTTGTTGCAAATTTGCAATTTTGTTAAATGGATGCTTGCTTATTAGACCTTCTCGAACTCACAAAAACGACGTCAAAAGCTGAATACGACAGCAAAACACTCTGATTATCAAACGTCAAAACACCGTTGGAAATGGAGTTGAGGGGAATTAAAGGGAATTGAAATCGAATAATAGAAGAACTAAATAACAAAACAGGACGAGTGCTTCATCGATTTGGGTTTTAAATCAAGAATTGAAGATGTGAAGGAAGAAATCTTGAGAAAAAGAAGGGCTGGAAAACTTCCAGGTGATACAACCACAGTCCTTAAAAATTGGTAGCAGCAACACTCCAAGTGGCCTTACCCAACCGAAGATGACAAGGCAAAACTGGTGGAGGAGACAGGTTTGCAACTAAAGCAGATCAACAACTGGTTCATAAAAAACGCAGGCTAGGGCCAAAGGGGCTGTGTCCTTTTTTTGCTTCGCCTGATTCTCGCTCCATAACTGACAAGCTCTGCTCAAACTGAAGGCTTTAATGGTTGACCTAACGCTAGTTGTGATGTGTCACTCTAGCTAGAAGGTGGTGAGAGAAGTGCAGAAGGGAACCTAGGTTTAAGCGGGTTCGAAGTGATACAAAACAACAACCTGCATCTTGATCTTGCAGCCTATCTCTTGTTATGCTCCAAGCTCCCTGTTGGCAGTCCACATTCAAGCAAGATCACGTCATCTTCCGGCAGATCCAGCTAATGAGATGCTAGTAACGCCGCCACATGACAAGAACCAACGGGAAAGGAAGGCCGCCGGGGTCGACGACAGGGAAGCGAGATTAACGCCGGATAGAGCTCCACTGCATCGACTCGCCCTCATGGTGGGCCCATATTGAGACTTTCCTTCTTTTTGTGTCGGTCAATCATAAAAAAAATAAAAAAAATAAAAAAAAAGGAATGATGGAGAGCATCAACGCTTGACCTTGACACTGTGTCCTTCTGTATCGATTACACAACTGCAACGACTAGTCTTGTGGGCCATTTTTTGGGAATCTGTTTCTTCTTTGTGTCGGGCAATTAAAACAAAAGAACTACTGAATGATGGAGAGCATCAAAGCATGACCTCCTCCCTATGTCCAGCTGTCTCACTGGTCCTTTGACTCAATTCAAATAAATATACTCCTCTATAACACTCTTGCGCTATGCATGTTGAACTTCTTGCAATTGCATGAGCGCAATTATATCACTCAGCACTCTCTCTTCTACCAACAACTCAAACCCAAAACAGTATTGATTCCTTACCACCTTCTCATTCAGCCATGCAAATTGATGCAAACGTATGCAGCAGTGATGGAGCATATTTACTTAGCATCTCAGTTAAAGCGGTGAACCCTAGTACTCAGGGCCGCCGAGAGCTATGACGTTCCTATGTTGGAACTGCCGAGGGATGGGCAACCCTCGAGCAGTGAGTGCTCTAAAGGATCTTGTTCGTGCCAACAAGCCCATGTTCTGCTTCCTTATGGAGACAAAAGTAGCTTCCTCTTATGTTAAAAGCTTAAGTTTGCAGTGTGGTTTTTCCTCTTCTTTTTCAGTTGATTGTGTTGGTCGAAGTGGTGGTTTAGCTGTTTTTTGGAATAACAATTTGAATGTTGATTTTTATTCCTACTCCCCAAATCACATTGATATGCAAATAACTTATGGACCGCATACTTGGCGAATGACGTGTGTATATGGGTTCCCTGAACATTATAGGAAGCCAGACACTTGGACTGTCCTTAAAACTCTAGCTAGTCAGCACAGCCTTCCTTGGCTTCTAATGGGCGATTTTAATAATCTACTTGCAGATGACGAGAAGATAGGGGCCATCCTTATGAGCTACGTAATCTTGAGGGATTTCGAGAAGCGCTGGAGGTGTGTCGGGTCTCCGATCTTGGTATGGTAGGGTATCCATTCAGATGGCGGTCTAGTAGGGGACGTAATAAAATTGAGGAAAGATTGGACCGAATGGTGGCTTCAGATACATGGTCTTGCTTTTTCCCAAATGCTTCGATCCACAACTTAATTAGTGGCACATCAGACCATTCTCCATTATTGCTTTTATTGGGCACTGACCTAAGGACTAAAAGACCAGTTAGCTTCAGGTTTGAAAATGCATGGATTGGGGAGCCTAACCTTGATGAGACTGTTACTCATAATTGGGCCCGAGGAGCCCACGGTGATGTACTTACGTAGCAAGTTCCTTAAAGAAATTAAATTGCTTAAAACCCGACTTAATGGTTTTCGAGTCCACCAGCGTAGTGACAGTTCAGAGGAGTACCTTTTAATACAAAAGCAGCTTGGTGATTTGCTTCTTAAAGAAGAGTAGTATTGGAAACAGCGATCAAAAATATTTTGGCTTGCTCATGGGGACAAAAATACCAGGTACTTTCACTCCTCAGCTTCCTCACGTAAAAAATTAAACTATCTTCCAGGAATCCGGGACTCGAGAGGTGACTGGAAGGAAGAACCGAGGGATATGCATACTGTGTTTCTAGAATACTTCACTACACTATTTACAGCCACACCTGTTCAGTCTAGTCCTGTTCTTGAACATGTTAATTCTCGGGTCATTGAATCTGATAATGGCAGTCTTATGGCCCCTTTTCTTGATGAGGAGTTTCGATCGGCAGTATTTCAAATGCACCCGGACAAGAGTCCTGGCCCTGATGGGTTCAATCCGTGTTTTTTTCAGAAATTTTGGTCAGTTGTGGGTTCAGATGTTACTACTAGCTGTAAACGGTGGATTGCACACGGCTCTTTTCCTAATCTGAAGAATGAGACCAATATTGTGCTCATCCCAAAAATTGATAAACCTGAATTTGTGACAGATCTGCGGCCAATTTCCCTATGTAATGTTTGTGGCAAAGGTTTTAGCTAATCGGATGAAGCATGTCTTGAGGAAAATTGTCTCCCCATCTCAGTCCGCTTTTGTACCTGGGAGGCTATTTACGGACAATGTAATTCTTGCCTTTGAGACAATACATTCTATGAAAAACCGTGGGAGGAGTCAAGAACAAACAGCGGCTTTAAAGATTGATATTAGTAAGGCATATGATCGAGTTGACTGGTCCTATTTAGAAGCTATAATGAGAAGACTTGGGTTTCGTTCCGAGTTCATTCAGGTGATTATGATGTGTGTTACATCGGTCAGGTATCATGTACTTGTTAATGGTGAAAGGGTTGGTCCTATTACTCCATCTCGTGGGTTGAGACAAGGGTGCCCTCTATCTCCGTACTTGTTTCTACTATGTTCTGAGGGGCTTTTGACTCTATTTATGCATGCAAAGGCAGTAGGGTCAGTCCATGGGGGTCGTATTTGTCGAGCTGCTCTGAGGTTGTCTCATCTTTTATTTGCTGACGATAGTCTGTTTTTCTTTAGAGCTAAAGCAGAAGAAGCTACAGCGGTTGCACATATC